GAATACTAAGATATTTTTGAGTATTACTATGATCCATACAATAAAACTCTAAATATTAAAAGTATTAAATCTATCAATAAAATATATATTTTTTATTTTATAAAACATAATTTAGTTATACAGACAAGAGAATGCCCCAGAATCTAGGAATTGTGGCACTTAAAACCTTAGAGTAGTAAAATGTCATGGAATGGTAAAATAAAAACTCATTTCAAAGAGAGCAAGAAAGGATCAAAGAAAAAGAAAGTACAATAATTGAGTTGACGCAAGGTTGTGGATTTATTTTAAAGGTCACAATGAGATAATGAGTTTGAAATGTTTTTGAGAAACGAGTTTGCAATTTAAAAATTGCAAAGTCCCAAAATTTCACAGTGATTAATAACAAGGCTAATGACATAGATAATTTTTAATGAAGGGGACTATCTTATACCACCTGCCTATTTCTGTCCTTTTACCTCCAAATTGCACAAGATTAAGGAAAAGAGTGTTCTCAGGCCATCCTAGTGTCAGAGGAAAACCTGGCTTAGGAGCTAAGAGAAAAGAATCCTCGAACATAAATGCAGAAACTTCTCTTTCAGTCTAGGTGTTGTATCAATTTTACTGGTCACACATACACATGCTTACAACATCCCCAGCCAGATGACCCTGCTTGAAATTTAATATCAAAAGCACCTGTGTGATTCCACAACATACTCTGCCCAAGATGCTGGGCTTCACACCCACTGAGTCACAACTTGGATCAAAACACACTTGCAAAATCTATCCTTTCACTGCTTTTTTGTCCTCTTTTTTCCTTTTATTTTTAAGGCACAAGCAATGCAGTACTTATTCTGCCACTCTAATACCAGCCCCACAGTACATCCATGTGATCAAATATAAAACATACCCAGGGGTATGAAAGTCATTGGCAATCACTCCCAGCTACATGAAAACCCATATATCCCTAAGTATTTTGATCATGGTCTTACCTCCTTGCTTAAAAAAGTGTCCTGCAAAAAAAAAACAGGTATTAAAAGAAATCCAATTTATTGCTGTTTCTAAACTCAACAAGTACATGATTAATTTTCCAATTTGCTAGTTAATCTAAGAAAGCAAAATTTCAGTGGTAACACTGGGCCATGCAAGGCAACACTTCACTTTTCCTGGGATTCTCCTGAAAATGCTGCTGGCCACGAGTACCAACTTTGGGTGCTCAAAATGACACACTGGTTTCCATATTTTCTGTGAAGCCCTTTCCCCTCATGTCAGACAAGCCCAGGCACTATTCCCCCCAAAAGGAATCTACAACTGAAGGCTGTTCAGCAGCCCTGGATTCCTCTCCCTCACCAACAACCCTGTTTGCCCACTGTGGCCACAAGAGCTTCCTTTTTGAAGCAATCAGGTGGGATCCTTATGCCCCCCAAGAGGCTGAACAGCCTCAGCTTCCTCTCATATGATTATTATACTTTGTCTTTCTACTTTTTCATTATCAAATACATATATATTATAAATAGCTCATATAAAATAACAGAATGTGATTTTGATTCAAGATTAATCCATTAAACAAATAACAGGACATTAAATAATAATTCAGATCAATCACTATAGATCCAAAGTAAATAAATAAATAAAATACCTTATATTTCCCATCCAATTATGTAAGTCCTTTAAAATAAAGGGACAAAGATCATCAATCTAACAATTAATATGGAAATCAAATTAATCTAAGGAATAAAAAAGTTGTTTTACAACCAGTTTCTAGGAAGCTTTGATTTTATGATTGTTAGCTAAATCTGAGAGTTGATCTCAATCGTTTAAGATAAGGTTATTTTCATGTTAGATAAACTGAAGGCATTTGCAAATTATTTTACACTGCTTTTATACAAGGCTTCTGTTAAAATCTAGTCACATAAAAAATGCTGGACTATTTTTAAAGTCACATTTCCTTCTACTAACACTTTGAGCACCATGTTAATCTTCTTACATACAACTATAGAACTCACAGGTTTCATCTTTTCAGAAGTATTTCCAATACAAAACTTTGAACAAGTAGAAAAATGTAGTTGCATCCACACAAACCAGAAAAATCATAGCTTGTAGTTTGCTGGTGTGCTGGCTAGCTGTGCTGTAAGCACAGACAAACTAAATAATTGCAAATTCAAAGTGTTAAATGACAATTTAATGATTGCTGTTTCAACCAGGCTTTTGATGCTAACATTGAAGCTTTAAACTATGCTTTTATGTATGCTTCAAGTAACATCACAACAGAACTTTGGGAACATTGGCTCTTTGGTATAAATTACTATGAATCTGCTTTTAGACCATAGGCATAGCTCAGCTTTTTTGGACAACACTGGGCTTTGCTGAAATTTGTAGTTAGAAAAAATTTAATATGGAGACAGTAATTAAGAGAAGAACATCAGTTTAAAACAAATTACCATGCAGCCCAGCATCCCAGTTAGGATCACAAGTACTGGACCAATCTCAGAAAAACACTACTAGAATATTTAGGCCCCACTACAGTCAGAGGCAGAGGCACAGTAGCAGCCTGACAGAGCCTAAATTGTAGCTACGATTAGCTGTTGACACGACAGCTTGAGTGAGAGGTTTCTTTGCTAGAACAGTTTTTCACCATCATAGTTAATGTATCAGTTTATCACAAGGGTCAAATGATCACTGGAGCCAAAGCAAGGCAACATGGCTGGAAGCAAAGGCTGTGGCTTCATGAGCTTAAGCCAGAACTAGAACAAAAAAAAAAAAAAAAAAAAAAAAAAAAAAAAAAAAAAAAGATTTTCCATGTTCTGAAGGGCAGAGAGACAAACAGAAACACTGCAGGGCAAAGCATGCAAAACTGGAGCAGGGCTGGATTCCAGCAGCCAGGGTGGCCTCTGCCCACAGCCTCCCCCAGTGCTGCTCCTGCACAGGAAACACAACTGTCACACCATTGCCAGGGGAGCCCCGCATATTGCCACGACAAGACAAAGACCCTGTCAAGTCCAGACTAATACTTTCCAAGGTGGAAAAAAATCCAGCTGTAGAGAAAGTAATGGGCACAATTTAAACCCATGCTGGCCAAAGTAGATATAAATCTAAAGTGAGAGGTTCTTTTTTGACTTGCTTTACTCTGGGGAAAACAAGCTAAGCCAAATGAAGCAAATAATGCACCTCTGCTTTTAAATTCTTTTTCCCTTAGCATTCCTAGTACCTCACACTAAAGATCCTGCTGGTAACATTTGCTAATGGAGAGCAGGATACCAGGGCTGGTGCTATTATTATTCTGCTACTATTCTACTGCTTCTCTTAAATTGCTTTGTCAGACTTCCGTCACTTGAGACAAGTTCCATTATAGCAGACTTTAGGTGTATTTAGGTATTTGCCAGATAATAGAGTAAGGTTCTTAAGCAATCAATCTGTACAGATTAGTCTAATCTGTTGCTGCTGGAAACTTTGTTTCCAGAAGGAAAGTAGACAATAGTTTCAGATTACCTGCAATAAGGTTAAACTATGGGCAATAAATACGTTTTGAGGTGTGAAGAAAAACAAAATAAAAGAATGCATTCCCAATATTGTCTTTGCCTTTACCAGATCAGGCAGGTATCTGAATTGAGATTTCAATTTTTCTAAAAACTTTTCCTAAAGGATCTGGCTCAATTTAAATTGCTTAACTTGTGGTTCTCTTAAGTATTTTGGAATGCAGGATACAACAGAATTCAGTTAGGAATGTTATTTCCCAAATCAAATAAAGCACAAAAAATAATGTTTCAATATTAAAATAAGATTTCCAGGAGCAAAGTCAAACAGTTCAAGATTTTTAGGATTCTGCATAAAAGTGAAGGCAATGAGCCAATGAAGATAAAAGCACAGAGGGCCAATATCGGTCACCCAGTTCTAAAATAATGCAGTTTTTCAGTGATATTTTTTAGAAAACATAGAAATATTTTTTATGTAATCTCTTGTAGCTCAAACTACAATTCAAAATACTAAGTAAGGACTGTCAGATCATCCCTCCCTTTAGCTTTTCCTAGTATAAGACTACATAAAATTATTTTTTCTATCACCCCATTTACCAACTTACCTTTCATTCTGTTGGACAACAGCTATGGATACAAGCATGAAGAAAGGAAGAGCAATACTCTGTCTGTACATGAGATAATGTAGAATTTATGTCTAACAAGAAACACAGCCTGGAGTCTCACTGAAGGTCACCAGCACATGAGGCAACTGCTTAGAGCTCTGCTGAACAAAGAGCAGCATAAACCTGTACTTACAAGGTTTTCCTACATTGTGCCCAAGAAGAAAGACTCAAGTTTTTTTTTGTTGTTTTTTTTTTTTTTTCATATATGGCTCTCCTTGACTTCAAGTTCAATATCAAATACGAGGATAATTAACTTTCATGTACTGTTTGATAAAAATGAATTCAACACCCTAAAATTAATGGCAATGATCTGGATATCTGGTCTGGCCCCACTGGTCTGATCCCATGAAATGCTACATTCTGTCATTAAAAGATAATAGGGCAACTTCCATAACTGGAACAGTTATACTGACAAGAGAAGAGATAACCAAGTTAGAGAATTAAATTGGCAAATAACCTAAATTAATTAAAATTACATAAAAAAGATTATAATTGTCAGCTTCTTTTAATTGAGCAATTGTTAAAACTGAAGTCAGTTAAATATTAGTCCTTCCATTGGAAACACTTTTTTCTAAAAATTATCTTCTTTATGAAAACTATTCTATTATTTATAAATAAGCTATTTAAACTGTGATGCAACAAACTGATTTCAGATTTTATGCAAAATCTATTTTGAATACAGTTTATTTCAGACTTGAAACAGACTTCTAAAACCATAAAGCTTGTCAAGTCATTCGCTGTAATTCATAGTAGCTGAAATTCTCGAGCAACCTAGAGTTTGCACTGTTTTAAACAGCAAAAAAATCTCAAAATCTCTGAAAATACTTACTCAAATATATATATAGAAGAAGTTCACTTTTTCCACAAAAACTAGATTAGAATAATATTTCAAGTATTTACAGTTTATTTGAATGAAAATTATAGTAAACTTTCATATCTGGTCATAATATCATAATTACTATATCATTACTTCATACAGGTTATGAATAATTCTTCATTTTCTGTAGCAGTACTGTAACAGCAAGCCATCCTTCCTTCTACTCTAGCAGGCTGGAGGTGAAAGTATTTTTCACCATTAGAAACTGAGATTCTCTGTGTGATCTTTTCAGCTTTGCACGACGGTTCTGAAACCAGATCTAAAATGGAAAGAGAAGGGATGCTTTTCAGAAACACAGCAGTGGAAGCAGAGTAATATTTGAAACTTAAAATTATTCACACAGTATGACAATATTTTGTGTGACAACAGCAGCTTGCAAGTTCAATATAAATTTAAAATCTGCAGATGACAGCATGTCACCTGCTACTTGTAATTTTATCACCACAGACAAAGAAAATAATATCCCCATGTTAACTGGAAAGTGAGATCAGCTTCACTGTAATTAATAAAAAAACTGGTATTAAATTCAGTGACAGAATCAGATCCTGGAAGATCCTGAACATCTGGAATTCACACATGTCTTATGGTGCTATTTCTTCAGCTGCTTAACTATTTGCAGCATCAAGTTTCTCATCAAGCCAAATATAATACTTGCAACAAAAGCCTGATAAACAACAGAGTGAAGCCCAAATTCTTATGTATACAGCATGCTTCTTACCACATTGAATTACCTGGAAATCAATAATTAACATCCCTGAATAGATTTTGCTTTTGGCCAGGTAAGGACATAGGTTCAAAAACTGGTTTAACACATCTATGCTCTGCTGGCAGTCTCACAAATTATGTCCATACCCGTTTCAAATTTATTTTTCAAATATGGTAACAAGAAAAACATAAAAATTATTTTAAGGAAATTATCAAGTTCTGCACATAATAACTAGAGAATAACAGAGAAGATATTGTGAAAATATTATAGTGATTAATACCTCATCAGTGCTATGGAAGGCTTTAGATTTCAGAAGGAATCCAATGGTTTCCATTTCTCAAATAATTGAAGGCATGTTTCATGTATATATATTGGTTTAAATTGAGATTATTAACATTCTCATTACTGCTGTCAAACTACTTACATATAGTAGTACAGAGAGTACATATAGCTGGAATTACAGGAAAGTTCAAATAAATCTTTAATTACCTGGATCCTGTCTTCATCTAAATCTAATTTGCGAGCTAATTCTTCTCTAATATCAATGCCAGGGTAGGAGTTCATTTTAAAAACATTTTCCAAGACTTCAATCTGAGGAGATTAAAATACACTTGTTGAATAGTTAATACTATGTTCATAGGAGTAATACATAAAACAAATAAAATAACAGCTTAGTTTGTTCAACAGGAGACTTCTGATCAGTGTTTGCACAATTCTGATTCCAGGCATACACACAGATCTGCTGAAATTAGCAACATTCCTGTTAATTTACACTAGTTCCTGATTACATTTCTCTCTGTAGAGGTACATCACACTGATCAGCTGTTAGAGGTTTCTTCCAACATTTTACTAAACTACATTGTTCCTCATTTGTTAAATGCTAAGGAAAGCCCTACCTGGTTTCTAGTGAATGCAGTTCTTGGTCTTCTACCCCTGTACCAGCTCAATTCTCGTTTGAAAGACAGCCTTTCAGTAACTGAAAAATATTTTTCACATTTCAAAACGTTTTCCTCTTGCACTGGATCACTTCTAGCATGAAATAATGGATTTTCATAGCAAACAACAGGGGTTTGCAGATGGGGATTACTGTCATCACCTAAAACTAGAAAGAGCAAGAAAAGGAGAGCTTCAATTTACTGGTTTGTAGTAGAAACATGCCAGTATTTTTGAAGGGTAAAAGCTTAAGGGGTTACAAAACAGACTGACTTACCCAGGCTGGTGCATGCATCCATCCAAGGTCTGTGAGGTTTCCCAGCTGGAATGCCATCTTTTTTCTGCTCCAGTCCCAATATACTCTCAATTGAAAAGGAGCAGGGTGTGGTTTTACTCTCTCCCAAGCCGGGCACCTTGTGCAGGTCCGGAGAGGCCGCCGTGGTGGCAGCACACAGCGAGGGACCGGCCATGCCTTCACCCTCAGCCAGCATAGCAGGGGTACTGTACTTGCATTTCTCCACAAGTCCTCCTTATAGCTATGTTGACAAGGGGGTTGGATTTGTAACGTCATTAATTAAAATCTTTTATTAGAAAGTTTTAGCATGTCAATGAAAACTCTCCCACCAAGAGGCACGAGGAGTTAATTGTTTATTTGTTTGCAAGTAATTAGCAACTAATGGTGACACTAGGGGGGCCACCAAGGGGGACAAAGAGTGTTATCTCTCCTAACCAGAGCATCGACTTCACTTTCTCAAAAGAAGCTGTGCACAAATATAGTACTTCTCTTTTATTTGAAATCATTAATGTATAAAATCAGTTTTTTAAAAAACTTTATACTCTAATGGACTCCACTTACCTAAACATAGAAGCATGATAGGAAACCAGTCAAGTAATAAGTAATCTCATTTAAGTGAATTTCCTTCCAAGAAAATTTAAAAAATAATCTCTTAATGCTATTAGGGTAATCCCGATGAAAATGCCTCTGTTTTTTCATATGCATATGTAATGGTGAACGTGGTCAATAAAACAACAATAGCTTTTGGCATAAGGCACTGTGCAGTGGGTTGGCAGTGTTGTCAAAGCTCAGTGTAATTGCCTTCCAAGTGCCTGGATTAGTTAATAGGAACAGTTGCACCAACTATTTTAAATAATTCATGCATTCATTTTTCTTATTCAAATAACTTTGTTGCAGCCTTTTTGAAACATAGCAGATGTGAAATTTCCTGATAATTCTTCACTACATAAAGGCAAAGTTTCAAGTAATAGAAGCAGTACACTCAAATTTACAGATTTAGAAGCATTCTTTTTCTCATCGATGTCTCTCCCTTCTTGTAGGTTTATAGCAAACAGAAGCATATTTAAATCCTACAGAGCCAACACTTAAAATCACAAAAACAATTATAAGTAACGGGAAGAAAGGAGATAAAGGCTTTGCAATGAAGTCTGACAGAATTCTGATTTCATCCATTATAATAAAATACAGACTATAACATTTTTATATTCAAGCTCAACTGTCAGTCACGCAGCAGTTTACATCACATGCTCAAAACCAGCTTTTGGTTCAGGACAAGAAAAGGAAGAATTTCTGTAGAGACACTATAAAATCAAGATTTGTCCAAAAGTAACAGGCAAAAATGAAAACAATATTTTTATTTTGGGAGGAAAAGTAACCCCACCTTCTGGCCTGACTTTGTGTTGTGCAGGAAGATTGTTGTCAAACTGAACTATTAAAAGAGTGGCAACTCCAGAAGTGATCTTACCAAGGACACTTCTCACACATATCAATGCATCTCGAAGCAGCATGCATCCGCCTGCAATCTTCACTTGCACGATGAGCTCCAGTCACCATTTATGGACCTTAAGCCTTCTCTTGTAAACTGTATTTCATTGTTTGGCCCATTAGTATTGACCAATACTACCTTGCAACCCATTTGAAATTACCTATAGACTTTAACTAAATACCTTGGTAGGGGTAATTAGAGCAACACAGCAAACATTAAGTTGGGAATCCTAAGTAATCAATAATAGGAAAACTCACTGCTCCTTGGATATGCAAATCCAATCCTCTTACAGCATCACATACTTGATGAGGCAGGAAACTAATCTCCCTTTCAGACTCTGCAGCACTGTTTTTCACCCAGGGATGGTGGAGTTCATCTCTTTAGGAGAAGGAGCTCGTTCTCCAGAGATGGGAAGCCTCCACCAGCTGTTTACTTCAGCTGAGGAAACCACACCAGTGCTCTTGGGGTTTTGGTCTGAAGGCCCAGTTCTTACTCTTGCTGCTTTTTGCTCTTCTCACCACTGCTACTGCACTGCTGGGTCACCTTTCCCTAGAGCCTGGGCAACATTTTCAGATTTTTAAAAGGGTATAAATGGTATATATTATCTTTCTTGATTATTTATCACACTCCAAAAATTCACTTTTCACCTCACCTTTCCCACAACCTCTTTACCCAGTATTTCACCACCTCAGAAGTCATGCTGCATAAAGCTCTCTTTCAAATATGTTTTTAACATGAATAACAAGTATTATATTCAAAGCCAACTTCAGAATTCCCAAGTTTTTTTAAAGCAAGAATACCTCAAAATGGTACACCAATTTTCACAAAACAAAGCAGTTAGCTATTTCTTGAAGTAAAAGCTACTTTGACACAGGAAGATTAAGTGAATGCAGGTAAATTCAAGGTTAATCCAAGGTTGCCACTAGCAAAAGTATAAGAAAGTGTGTTAAAAACTGGGAAACATTGCAAATAAAACCTACCTTATCCACAGAGCTACTTTCACCCTCCAGCAGAGGCAAAATGTTCTCTCCATAATGGCACACCTCTGGAATCCTCTGAAGACACGGTCCCTGCTCTTCTCTCTGTTGACGAAGTGCCAAGTGTTAATTCCGCATATTTTTAAGGCTTCTTAGAGGATATTTTGCAGAAAAAGCAACAACAACAAAACATAACAACCAAAAACCAACAACCTCCCCAAAAAAACCCCAAACCAAAAACCCAACTCCACAAATCAAAAAGCCCAAACAACAACAAAAAACCCCACTCACACAAAAGGTCTACAATGCTGAAAACAGTGTAACACGAAAACCACAATTAGAGGATGCAGAGGGATTCTTCAACTCATTACTTTTACATTTGTTGCAGTCAAATTTGTAGTTCAAGTAAAACTTTTGGATGCCACTCACAGCTGTAAATACACAAAGCTAACCAAACCAAATCCACTTAAAGTTACTACCTCCTGAATTCCACTGGGAAAATGATCTTACAGTACAAAACAAAGTAATTTCTTATTGCTGTAAAGACTGCTGTAAAGCTTGGTCACAAGTTAACTGTCTCAAAACCAGAAAGCACAAATATTTATAGGTCATGAACCAATGTTAACATCCTGTCACATGACAGGACTTAGTCTGTAAAACACCTTGTAAGATAACCCTGAATTATTACCCTAATTGACAGGGAAAGGGAGAGGTGCTGTGACTTGCTTCAGTCAGGTGAGTCACCAGCTGAGCTGGTAAATTAATTGACTGAACAGTATTAACTTGGAAATTTCTTTACCACTCCCTACAGAGAAAAACAAAACAACACAACAGCAAAAAAATCCCAAAAACAAAACCACCCACCACCCCCTAAAAAACCCAAACCAACAAACAAAACAAAAGCCACCTCAAAAATCTTTGTTTGCAATTTAACACACCAGTCCTGTCCTTTATCTGCTTTTAATGGTAAAGCATAATTTGAAACAACATAAAGAATGGCCTCACAGCAAGACTGCACCACAATCATTAATCATTTGCTCTGCTGAATGAATGACTTAATATACTTTCTAATCTGGTCTTAGTCTAAATTCACCTGGGCCCAAAAAGGCAAAACCAACAAGGGACAAGGGAATAGCTGCCTTTTTTTTTTTTTTTTTTTTTTTTTTTTTTTTTTTTTCCCCAGATAAAAACTATCATCAAGTCTACTAAGTCTTGCTCTCTAGAACTACCTGAAAGGAGGCTGTGGCCAGATAGGGATCAGTCTCTTCTCCCAGGTAAGAAGGGACAGGACCAGAGGAAACAGCCTCAAATTGTGCCAGGAAATTAGATTGGATATTGGGAACAGTTTCTCCATGGGCAGGATGGCACTGAAAATCACTACTCCTGGAAGTGTTCAGATGTGAGGATATGGCACATAGGCACGTGGTTTAGTGCTGAACATGGGCTCCTGGATTAATGGTTGGACACAATGATCTCACGTCTTTTCTAACCTTAAGGATTCTACAATTCTAAGTAATTTCAGAGCTGAACTAGTTCCCAAGTCCAACCAATGATCTGTTTTGATTCCAGTGAGCCCTCATAGTAGTTTTAAGCATTTAAAATTTGCCACCAACCTATGGCACCACAATTAAGAGAGCAGAAATACTATTTTCTAATATCTAATCAGAATCTCTCCTGTCTCAGCTTAAGGCCCCTTGTTGTCTCACTGCAAGCACAGTAGAAGTGGATGGCGTCCACTTGGGGCCCATCCACATGGCGGGGATAAGAGGAGACTTGCCAAAAGGGATGCTCCAGATAACACGGCAAGAGCGCCAAAGATGCTCCAGAACGGCAGGGACCCAACAGCGCTCCCTTGCTGTGGAGCGGCCCTCAAGGTAACCGTCTGTGGGAAGACGCCAGCAGCCCCCGGAGCACAGACAGGGCTGGGAGGACACTCTGCTGAGCGGACAGGACCCGCAGTGCCGGGCAGCCACCTCAGGGGACCCCGGCCCTGAGGGGCCCCGGCCCAGCGCCTCACCCCCGCGCCTGCGCGCGAACGGGCAGCCCCGCCAGCCAATGGGGAAGCGGGTGGGCCAATGGCGAAGCCGGACGCGCGGGGGGCGGGACGTCCGGCGGGCGGGGGCGGGTCGGGGCCGGCGGGGCCGGCGCGGGAGGAGCGGAGCCGCGGGGGCTCAGCGCGGTCGCCGCCATGCCCGGCATCGACAAACTGCCCATCGAGGAGACGCTGGAGGACAGCCCGCAGGTGAGACGGGGCCAGCGCAGGCCGTATCGGGGCCAGCCCCTGCTGGCGGGCCCAGCGCTGCCTCCGTGTCGTTGCCGGCCCCGGGAGAGCCGGGAGGAAGGGTGACGCCCCAGCTGCCCGCGGGGCTCCGGCAGGCTCGGCTCGGGCTTTCCGCCGCGGCCGTGTGCTGCGAGCGCCCGCTCGGAGCTCCCGGGAGAGCCGCGGGCCGGGGGTGCGGGGGCTGCGGCAGCTCTGGCCGGCAGCGGGGCTCTGATCCCCACCCCCCCTTCGCTCTCAGGCTCCATTTCGGACACCTCGTGCCCACAAAACCCGTGTTGTTTTCTCAGAACGATTTTTCCTCGTTGTTTTTCACCAAGGCGCGTTAAGGTTTGATAGAGCCGTGTGAGAAGCGGTTCTGGGTGAGGCTGTCGCGGCGGTGGGAAGCGCATGGTGCCCGGAGGCCTCTGCTGCTCCGATTCTTCTCTTTCGTAGCTGCTGCCTGATCTGTGTCAGCGATGCTCTGTAGCACTGGAGTTTCTTTCTAAAGTAGGAAATGCTTTATTCAGTGGCTCTGGTTTCTCTTGTTGGCAGTAGCAACAGCAGGTCCTTGTACTGTGCTGCTTAGATGTGGGAAAAAGTTTGCAATGTATTTTCTTTTATGGCAGCCTTTTGAATTAAGATCCTTGTTCTGGTGCATGATTTACGTAGTGAGCAGGGTGTCCTGTATTGCAGTGGCCTGTGCATTGGTAGTTTTAATTCCTTGGTCATAGGAAGAGAAACTTTCGCTTGTTAAAAAGGGAAGTTTAGCCCCTAAAGTTACAATTATTGTAACAATTCTCTGTCAAGTGGAAGGATGACTTCAAAAAGGCAGGAGAAGGCCATGCACAAAAGGAATAATTGATTTCTCAAGGACAGTGCCCCAGATAGCTCAAATGCTGAATGTGAGATGAGATCTGGGTTCTGGTCTAGGGGCCAAACCTGCTGTCATCTCATGAAGAGGAAAACATTTTGAAAGTCTTGTAATAATACTGATTTTAAAAAAATTATTTCTTGAAGATCTTTTCTTAGTATGAGGAAGTCAGAATTATTCATATGTATAGGAAATATCAAATGTGACATGAATTTAGGACCATCTGAAGACATTTGGGAAGCACATGAGAAAATACTACGTTTTGGAATGTAATTATAATTCTAGAATCTTCCATGTGAGGTTAGTTGTGATACAGACAAGCAAAGACTAATTCAGCCCGTTGTGTTTGAGATGCTTAAGTAATTGGATTTGTCAATATTGTCTTTTGTTTTAGGTAGAAAATTTACATCTTTCAGTCAATTTAATATTTCAGATGTATTCTATGAGCCAGCTCCCTCTAGTAAGAACTCAGTGGTTTTCTGTTAGGTTAGTCCATTTGTTGCATTAGTTAATTTCTGTTACTTTGAAGTCAGTGCGGTGGAAATGGTAGCAAATGTTGCTTGAAGAAAGCAGAAGCCTCTCTCTAGAGGAGTTGCCATGACTTGGATACATTCATGCTGGAATATTGCCAAGCACATCAGCCCGGGTTATTGTTTCGTGAAGTACCATGGCCTGGAGTTGGTGTTTCAGACACTGATTGTAGGTATATAAACTAAACGCCATATCAAACTTATTCTGTGTCTGAGGGAGGGAAAGGCTTTTCAAAATGTCCAAACCCGTTCATTTCCTGTTGTCACAGGATGAAAATCTAACCACTGTGCTTGTCAGGCCCAAACCAAATGCCAAGTTTACATAGTCTTTTGCTATGCAAAACAGGGCAATTTACTTATTAACCTAGGACATGTATTACACAGGAACTCAGTGTGTATTTAGAGAGTTTCTGCTCACACTGATTTGCGTTCCCAAAGCATTGCACAACAAACAAGCCAAGAGACTGGTAGCACAGGCTCTGTCTCCTGTCACCTGCAGTGCCCTCCAGCTGATGGCACAGACAGCTTAAAGCTGACTTCTAACGAGGGGTTTCATCCTGCAGCTTCTTCTGGTCCTTTCCTTGCTTGCTCACAAACACGGATTGAAGGACACTGAAAGAAAATGCAAGATGATGCAGAGTTTTACTAGAAATATAAGCGAACAATTGCTCTAATTTTCTGCGAAGCAGAAATCTGCCATAACTTGTTTACAGTTTCAGATTAATTTCTTTCCATTAGTATAATATGATATTGTTTTGACAGTTGAACATCAATAACAGACATTTTTAAAGTAAAGCATAAAAATATTTTTTTTTCCATGTTCAGTTTTAAAGAGTAAGCATAATCCAGAAACCTTACATAATACTCCTTTAAAATTACAAGCTCAGGTTTATTTATGTTCAGGTTTAAAGGTCATGAGTATATAATTCAATGGTTATAGTACCATGTAATTTTTTCTTTTGCATTCTTTTGTGTATGTCTACCTTAATGAGAAAGTCAAGGCTGTTAGGATGACATATGTTGCCACACCTGATTTGAGTTCTCCACCACCTCTTTCCACTTGTTTTATAAATTAGAACCAGCGTTAAAGCGATTTATTGTGCTGATGATATTTTTTAATATTTGAATATCTTTTAGACATTATATAGCATTACAGTAGCTGTGATACAGCCAGGCATTTAATGCAACTTAGATAAAAATATCTTATGTCAAAAGAATTGTTAAATAATATACTTTATATGGGTTTAATATATACTCTTTGATTATCATTAAAAGCAAAAAATCAGAAATAGCTGAAAAAGACCTTCATGCTTCAAGGGGAGATGGACTAAAGACATCAGTAATTTCAAGACAACCTAGGGTAGACTAAAAATATAATTTCCAATTTCAAGTGTTTAGCAGTCATAGTTTGGGGAAAAAAATCAATTATGTTCTTATGATTATTTTAATTTTCTTCCTGGACATTAATTTTAGTGTAATCCTAGAAACAAAGCATGGTCCTTTTGCTAAAACATTGCAAGCTCTGCTCCTGCTTC